ATGCCCTCAAAGTCCCCGCCCTCTTGTATAAAACCCCGCCCCTCTACACACAAGCCCCGCCCCCCCGCGTGCACAATTTCCCTGCACGTTGTCGGCTGATGTGTCAAGTTCAAGTGCACGTACCGGTAACGTTGCGGCGTGTTCAAGCAGGTGACACACCCAAGAGAACTAGTAGAAGTCTAATCTGAAAGAGTGGCCCTGAGCACACAGTGACAACAGCCAGGCGAGTACAAATCAGGACAAAAACAATTACGTAACGCGAAAAATCTAAAATAGCGTATTGCACAAAATAATATACATCGATGTAATTACAGTGTACACTGTATGAATTCCCTGTAGCCTAAGTCGGCTCGGGCAGATTATTTTTAGACTGCTAATGCTTCTATATTTACATACTTGCACAATAGTCATCCTTTTCTAGATTTGAAGCTTTCGTGACTGCAAGGATCCATACTCTTTGGTTCTATTCGGTAAAGTCACGTAGGTAAAAAAAATAAAACAACAAAAATCACGACGTTTCGGCCACAACACAAGTAGCCTTCTTCAGGTGAAGGAACAGAACTGTCGGGACGACAGAGCTACGTGACTTTACCGAATAGAACCAAAGAGTATGAATAGTCATCCTATATCTGTTTAATGTTCCATAATTTTACTATGACCAGTCTGTAAATAATCTGCCCGAGCCGACGTTACGCCAAAGGAAATGTATTAATGTACTGTATTTAACATTGCTTTTTTTTACATTTTTGAATTTTTTTCGCTTCTCTTTGTTATTTTTAGAATGAAAATGAACACACGCGATAACTATGCACAACACACGTGTGCATTGCAAACATGCCGCATAGCCTTGTTAACTTGCAATGTATAACATTAATAAAACGTGCAATGTAACATTGTGCACAGCCCACTTGCCAATCCATTTAGCATTGCATCTCAGCTAACCAGTGAGTGTTGCATCGTTAAGCAAACGACACAACACAAGCTGTCTACGTACGGTGCGAAAGAAGTTCAGCATGCTTGTACGTCAATGCAGGTGTGTCTCGGGCAAAGGAAGCCTTTGTCCTCTCATCTTTCCAGTTGACCGACAATGCCAACGCGTGGCGCTGCTGTTAATTACTGCAATTTGACTCAAGCTGAGTCAAACTGGCATTGAATATTTCCCATGGGTCTGACGGCATATGGTTCGTTACCCACGTTGGCTCTTGTCAAAGCCAACGTCAGCCGCGACCTCTTAAACTACATAAACTACTTGCTTGTGTTGCAATGAAAACGTCGTGAGAATTGTATTGTTTTATTTTTTATTATTTCCCTTCTACGTGACTTTACCGACAGAACCAATAAATTACGTCATGCGATTTTGGACGATTTTTGACCTCCCCCCCTCGTCACACGGCGTCACAAAAAGTCAGACCCCCTCCCCCCTCAAATATGACGTCACAAAGCTCTACTCCCCCCCCCAAAAAATATAAAACATGCTTCAAATCGCTTTAAACTATTGTCATTGTAGTGCGTATTTAATGTGCCGCTGCACTCTGATGTTGTATGATGAAATCATTTTTCAAAGTCTATTTAATTAAGTAGAACGTGTTGTCTATATTTATTTAAAGTTGCGCATTTTGATGTGACGTCACATTTCTCAAACCCCCCCCCTCGTCACACATCGTCACAAATGTCTGACCCCCCCCCCCCCCAGGTGCGTGACGTCATTTATGAACGGGTCCATATGGACACACTATGGATTTCCCAGTGACGGACCGTCTCCCCTTGTATTATCTCTGTCTTCCTCTGTAACTCTTCTCTCGCCACGTCTGCAACAGATCCCCACTCTGTCGTATTTATTGCAGCAGTCTCTGGGGTTCCACTTCTCTCACGCTCGGTGTCTCTGTCCCAAGTCAAATCCAGGGACACAGATGGGGGTGATGTCACCGGTGAGGCTCTGCCCTGTGTCTATTTCCGTGTGTCTCGTATCTGTGTGAATGTCTCTCTTTCTGTGTGCTGGTCTCGTTTCCCTTCGTGTTTGCTCCGTCTCCTTTGTCTTCCTCTCTCTCTCTCTGTGTCTCTCCGTGACAATGAAGCTTTATCTCTGCAAAGTTAAGATATTAAGACGGCCCAGGGTGTGGAGAATCCGTCTTTCTGCATATACTTTGTCTCTCATTTTCTTTCTCTGTTAAAGGACAGGCGACCACGCAGGCAAACTTGATCTAAGTTGGACTGAAAATCCAGAACTCGCCGATTCACTCCAGTCACTCACTCACCATCTTAACACATTCCTGCGGAGGGTGCTGGTAGGAACGTTGGGTTACTCGGTCAATGGCCAGGGTCAACGGCGGCGTGGTGCATTCCGCAAATATGCCCGACTGTGAGGGCGGGCACAAGCCGGCGTGAGTAGGTTAAACGTTGAGTTTTATAAGGGCACCACGGGGTGGCCAGCCCCTCCCCACCCAGCCCCACCCCTCCCACCCAGCCCCTCCCCACCCTCCCCACTCAGGCCCTCCCCACCCTCCCCTCCCCACCCAGCCCCTCCCCACCTTCCCCTCCCTCCCCACCTAGCCCCTCCCCTCCCCACCCAGCCCCTCCCTCCCCACCCAGCCCCTCCCCACCCTCCCCTCCCTCCCCACCCAGCCCCTCCCCACCTTCCCCTCTTTCCCCACCCAGCCCCTCCCCACCCTCCCCTCTCCACCCAGCCCCACCCCTCCCATTTTTGGATGCACGACGGACGGACGGACACAATAATCCCCTATAGGCTGGTGTAAGCAGGAGGTTCCTACCAGTATCACTCTCGTATCGCTATTACCATGTTACCCTTCCTGTAAAATGCAGTCATTGATTCCTTCACTCATGTTAATTAACTCGGTCTACCAGACACTGACTAATCTAGATTTGAAGTGGTATAGCCTCTTGTCACCGCAGCCCTTTCGCCAACTTCAGCAATTGTTTCCTGCTGTGGTTGTCCCACCTGATGACGGACGCTTCGTGTGTGTGTGTGCGCCCGAAACGTCGTGATTTAATTTATTTCATTTTATACCTACGCGACTTCACCGAAAGAACCAAAGAGTACAAACACTGGACTGTTTCGTCTCATCCACGCCGTGTCGAACCCACCACACTGCAGCTTACAACACACTCAGCCACTCGGACCACTCACTCACTCACACACTCTCGCACTCACCTCCTCACCACACTGCAGGTCACAAACACGTTTCTTTCTACATCTTCCCTAGCACTTGCTACACTTTGGCATGGATCCCTCCCAGCGTGTGTATTCCCATGCTCTTACACTACACTTAATGCATTACCTCGCTCAACCCAAGATACGCGTTTAACTTTTATTTATTAGAACGTTGATGGTGCAGTTTGTCGCTGACCGTTTGACTTGTTGAACTTTTTGGGCGCTGTGTTCAGCAACTTTGTGAAAACAAAAAAAACCATTAAACATTTTTTGAACACTCCAGCTGGCTAAGAGGTCTGGATTCTTCCTCTCCAATCTCGAGCTGATAGACACAAAGCCAAAGATCCTTTAGCAGACTGTGGGAGCAAGTGCTGTTAAAAGAACACCACGCCCACACACCGCACCAGGACGCTTGTGTTGCGCCCGAAACGTCGTGATTTATTGTATTTGAAACCTACGCGACTTTACCGAAAGAACCAAATAGCATGGATTCCTGCAGTCACGAAAGCTTCAAATCAAGATACTTATTTAAAAGGCTGAGTGGACCCAGGGGAGGTCCAGCAACGGTTCAGATATTCACTGTCACTATTGGGGGTCGTGAGCGGCGATCGAACTCGGGTCGTCGGGTTCGTGGCGTGGCGCGTTAACCGCTGCGCCACCGCTCCCGACTGATAGACAACACAGACATAGCAGGGCTGGCTGCTGACAAGGACAAAGATTCCTCCCCATAGCCTTAACAGACTGTGGGGGGGGGGGGGGGGTTGAGGAGGAGATAGGGCGAGGGGGATGATGGGGGGTGGATGGGGTGAGGTGGGGGCGGTGAGGTGGGGGGGGATGGGGTGAGGTGGGGGGCGGTGAGGTGGGGGGGGATGGGGTGAGGTGGGGAGGTGGATGATGGATGGAGGTGGATGGGGGGTGAGGGGGGGGGTGGATGGGGCGAGGTGGGGGGGGTTGAGGTGGGGGGGTAGATGAGGGGGGGGGTGAGGTGGGGGAGTGGATGATGGATGGGGGTGGATGGGGTGAGGTGGGGGGTGGATGAGGGAGGGGGATGGGGTGAGGAGGGTGGGGGGGATGGGGTGATGTGGGGGGGGGGTGAGGTGGGGAGGTGAGGTGGATGAGGGGGTGAGGGGGGGTGGATGGGGTGAGGTGGGGGGTGGATGAGGGAGGGGGATGGGGTGAGGTGGGAGAGTGAGGTGGGGGGGGTGGGGGAGTGAGGTGGGGGTTGAGGTGGATGGGGTGAGGTGGGGGGGTGAGGTGGGGGGGTGAGGTGGATGGGGTGAGGTGGGGGGGGTGAGGTGAGGTGGATGGGGTGAGGTGGGGGGGGGGTGAGGTGGGGGGTGAGGAGGGGGGGATGAGGGTGGCGTGGATGGGGTGAGGTGGGGGGGTGAGGTGGGGGGTGAGGTGGATGGGGTGAGGTGGGGGGGTGAGGTGGGGGGTGAGGTGGGGGGTGAGGTGGGGGAGTGAGGTGGGGGGGGTGAGGTGGGGGGTGAGGTGGATGGGGTGAGGTGGGGGGGGGGGTGAGGTGGGGGGGTGAGGTGGATGGGGTGAGGTGGGGGGGTGAGGTGGGGGGGTGAGGTGGATGGGGTGAGGTGGGGGGGTGAGGTGGGGGGTGAGGAGGGGGGATGAGGGTGGCGTGGAGGGGGTGAGGTGGGGGGGTGAGGTGGGGGGTGAGGTGGGGGGTGAGGTGGGGGGTGAGTTGGGGGGAGTGAGGTGGGGGGGGTGAGGTGGGGGGGGTGAGGTGGGGGGGGTGAGGTGGGGGGGGTGAGGTGGATGGGGTGAGGTGGGGGGTGAGGTGGGGGGGATGAGGGTGGCGTGGATGGGGTGAGGGGGGGTGTGAGACAGTGGGAACCGGTTCCCCTGACGGCGGACCCGGGTCCCGCAGCCGGGCCGACTTCATCGTCCAATGGCCTCCGGAGCGGAGCGCCGCGCCTTCGCGCAGAAGATCAATCGGTGAGGGTCTTTAGGCGTCCGAGTCGTCCACATACGGTGGTCGTCAACGGGACGACACCTGAGGGGAAAACAATAAAAATAAACCCGCGCGCGACGTTTCACGGCCGCGAGGGAACGAACGCCTCTCGTCTCGTTCCTCCGTGGCCGCGATGTTAGTCCAGGCGAAACGCCGCCCCGGTGATGGATGTCGACCCCCGTGGGATGGAGGCGGCCGGGATTTGTGGACAATGATGATTGGTGTTGGTTGTGGTGGTTTTTGACGATGACAGTGGTTGCTAGTGGTGGTGGTGATGGTGGTGATGACGTTTGTTACGATAGTGTTTGGTGATGGGTGGCGTTGGGATGGTTGGATGTGTTCGTTTCGGTGGCTGTCAGGACCCTCCCTGACCGTGGTGGTGGTGATGGATGTTGTGATTCCTTGCACTGGTGAAGATGATGACTGCTTACGACAATGCTGAAAGTGATTGACGATGGTGCTGCTGGTGGTAATGACGCTGGACATGGTTGTGGTGATGATGATGATGGTTATGAAGCTGATTGTCGCTGGCTGTGATTGTTATGATGGTTGTGGTGGTTATGATGGAGACGTTGGGGTCAGGAGATCGCGGCTGCAGGGCCCGCCGCCTCTTGCCACAGGAGGGGAAGTGGTTGGATGGTCGCCGCGTTTTGGTTTTGATTTAATCGCTGCTGTATTACGACTCTGCTATTCGCCGCTGTGCTCTTTACAATAAGCGAATTGGCGTTGAACAGCCCTTTGCCAATCCACTGCTACATGAAGGCCTTCCTCTACCCCCTCCCCCCGTGTCAGTCGTTGTGGTTTGTTTGACCATACTTCACCACCCTGGTCGGTGTGGATTTGTGAAACGGGTGGGTGGGGCGGAGGGACGATAGGGAACTTCGCGCTCCAGCACTCTCAGCATTGTCACTCCGGTACTCGCATAAAGTTAACTGTAATGTAATTAACATTAATTACTCTAATCTCACAGACACAGGGCCTTTGAGTATCCTTTTAGAGCGGCCTGGTCAGTCAGTATCAAGCCTGCTTATATTGTGTAATAGGGGAAGGGGTATGATTGGTGTCAAGAATGGGATATTTCAACTTTAATCTAAGGGGTAAATGTGAGTTAACATAGTTCTAGAGGTAGGAATAGGACTTGCATCATTGGTATGGCAAGTGGATTAGGTCAGGGATACACGTTAAGTTTAAGAATGTCTGAAGGTTCATGGTATGGGTCGGTGTTTAGGTCATTGTTAAGGATATGGGTAGCTTAGTATGCTGCATATGCCAGTTCAGACTTAAGAAACTGATTTTGCATGCAGTGTGAATAACGTACTCGCGATTTAATAAAGTTAGGATAGCCTATTCATGGGCTTATCTGCTTCTCGCTGCACAGGGGAGGGTCAGAAATCCTGGGTTAGTCCCTGTTACAATACCCAGTTGGAGAGGCCTCCTCAAAGTGGCTGTTGGCATTTTTAGTGAGGTCAGATTAAGGCTTGGGGCAGGGTGGAGTGAAAGTCCCATGGGATCAACAGAAAATGGTCTTTACATCCGACAAAACCACACGGTGAACTGTGGTGAGCAGATATAACACTGCCTACCAATCCAAATCCGAACTCATTTTCCACCTTTTCCCCACTGATCTCGTCGGGTTTCCACTGTTCTCATCAGACTTAATATAAAGCCAGCAACATGATAGGCTTTGTAAATGAATACCCATAAGCCAGCAATGAATGCTGCCATGGAAACCTTGGGCGGGTTAACATGGTGGCAGCTTTTGTTTTGATGAACATGATATGATTTGTATTAAACACCTGATATTTGAATTTTATGCAACTGAATATGAATATTTTTAAACCAATTAAAAGCAGGTCATACTTTTGGTAACGAGTCTTATTTATGTGGCTTGAGTGTAATTACATATGTAACAATTAAATTACTCGATTAAACAAATTATTACGCTCAGAACACACGTATTATTTTCAGTCCATTATTCCATAGGGGTGGAGTGGTGAGCCAGTGGTTAACGTGCTGCACTATGAAACCCGCGACCCAATTTCGATTCTCAGCTAGAGCAATCAGGACGAGTGTCATCTGAACCGGTTCTGCCCTCCCCACTTCGCCAAACCCACAGTGACCAGCATAGTATAAAAAAAATCTATCCAGCAGTGGATTGGCAAAGGCAGTGGAAAAGCTTTCGAGTGTGCAAGCAGTGCAACCACACCAGGGCTCACAGGACGGAGGGCCAGGATGCCGGGCTATGAAGAGGGACGAAATTGGACCTGGGGCACCATTTTATTCCTTGCACTAGGGCCCGTGCTCACCACGCTCCACCACTGACAAAGGGGTGCACACATGCATGTACCCGTGACAAACTTAGGTTTACAGAAGACATTGGTAGCTTGTTGTGTCCAGACGCCATGCTTTAAAAGAAAAGTTGTATGCCTGTCACGGTCCAAAGTTGACAATTTAAAAGATAAATCGTCAAAACATAATTGGGTAAAGCGACACATAAACATCACTCCCTACTTGGAAAATACTGCAGATGATAAAAGGCTGTGAAGCATAATGTGATAACCTTGTGCTTTAAGAATGGCGCAAACACCAAATGTACTAATGATCTGATTTGCCCAATGCGCGGCACGTGCTGCGGCGATTTTTACTGCGCTGACGGGACCGTCCATGGCGCGGTGTTGCAGGACTGTGGCCGCGGAGGTCCGCAAGCAGCTGTTCTCCCAGTATGGTGGCTCAGCGCACCTGTCCAAGCCTCTCCCGGGTGGCGGGGCCCCTCAGACGGTGAGCATCTTCCACCGGACTCCGATTGCCGCGCCAACGCGAAACTGCTCTTTGTACAAGCGCTGCCCTTTGTGTCCATGGAGGGAAGGGTGAACTATTTGTTTTGCAAAGTTGCTTTGCTCTGATCCGAAGGAAAGCCTCTCATGTTCCAGCTGTCTTGCGTATATCACTCATCTCCACACAGGAATTGGTAAATTGTTATCTTCATCATCAGCTGTGACCTTTCCACTGTTGGATGAAGGTCTCCCCAAAGCATTGCCATCTCTCACGGCCTTGAAATACAGCGATACATTTTGGTCCTTCACATAAGCCAATTTTATCTCTCCAGTTCCATGGTAAATTATTTTTCGTGGTAAGAAATGTGCTTACTTACCAATCCGGATAATATATGATTCGAATTGGATGATAACTAATTTGAGGTTCTTAAATGAACCCGTTTGGGATGAGCTGTGGTGAGGATGCTGTTTTATTTAACTTACGTGAAGCACTGTGTTTATACTTACATGGGGATGAGATCCTTCTAGTTTAATGAATGCTAAACACCTGATGGTGTTTGCCACTAATCCAGCACTTTGGAGCCTAGGGTTGATGGAAAATGGAGATTTGCAAAATTCCCACCAACTGGACTTGAATTGGCAGGATGGGAAGTGAGTTCATGAATACCTCTGTACAGTTCTTAAAAAGGAATGTGCCCAACATCCCATATAAGACCCTCCTCAAGAAGAATCTTGAGACTGACAGAATTGCTTGGATAAATAGACAGATTGCTAAATTGCTCAATTGCATGACTCAGCGTCCCTGGATTGTTTGGATTGAAGTTGGAACAGCTGCAGCTCTTGCCAGTGATGTTAACCACACCTCCGGGGAACTCGCAAATCGTTCCAGGCTTTTGCTAGAATGACAGCGTTCTGATTCTGGTACCTCCAGCCCTGGTGCAGCGTGATTGTCTGTGGTCCTGTCGGCAAGTACAATTCAAGAGTGAGGCACCTTGACGTTCCAATTCCAACATCTTTTGGTGGCCACCCGTGACAACCACCTGTGGCCAAACTCGGTGGCATGCGGCCCGGTGGCGCTAGCACCGCAGTTGGTTATCCGTGAGGTCTTCGGGTGCTTTTTCTTATTGTGTTCTACTTTTCCTATTTTTTTCTGCATTATGTGTTTTTTAAACATTTTATTGTAAGGTGATTTGAGATTCTGAAAATAAAATGCAGATCAACAAATCAAGTTGTTTTCCGCCGCTTGGTAGCCTGTTGACCCTGGCTGGTTGATTAGGTCCCTGTCGGTGGGCATACGAAACCCGGTGGGGTTGAGTTTTACGTTTTGTGCTGAACACAGAAACTGGCTCACTCCTGTGTGTCAGCTCCAGGTATTTTATGTTCCCGATGGGGCCAAATAGTCGCAGAGTATCCCTTTAAAAGCTTAAACAAATCCAGCGTTTTGGATGCTGGTGGCAGCTTTCACATATCTGGTTACTTGTGCAAGCTGCTGATTGGGCACTGATCACCAGAGTGAAGTCATGAAGAAACGGTTTTACTCACAAAGGAGGGGGCTCACTTAATTATTATGCATTCATGCAGTTGGCATGCTGCAGCGGTGACTGTTGAATTAATGGGTGTGTTTTATAATGTCATAGTGATGCAGTGTATTTACATTTAGAACAAGCTGCGACCATTCATGGTGCTAGTATTTCGAGTGGCAGAGCGACTCGCCGCAGAACTTTCCACCAGATTCCCCACTTTGTAGAGCACTACACTCGCGCAGAGCTGGGCGCTCAAGGATTACGTGGCTTGAATCAGATTTAAAACAACCACCGGCTAATCATTTGTTAGCGCAAAGGCAGCGGAGATTAGGCGCAGTCTCACCGCAGCTGGCCATGCTTGTTTTTCCACAAGAAAATGCAAAAAACAGATGGCCAGGCGTTCGGTGGTCTGTGAAAAAAAAAAGCCAGTCCCCCTCAGCCCTGGAGCGCAGCACAGGGGTGCAGACAGATGCGAGTGAGCTGCTAACGCATTGGTAGCATCTCGCTGCGGACCGACCGACCCGTTCTTTCCGCGTTTGAACAAGACAATCCACGGCGTTTGTTTGAAGCACGCTCGGACGCTCGTGCTGTCGCTCGGAGATCGTGCCAGCGGGTGGCGGCTGTGACCGCCAGCACTGTCATCATGTCCGCCCTGGGTGCACGCGGTGCCTGGCGTGTTCCGCTCGTTGTTGTGTCGGACGCCGACGATCGGGACAGACCCGTCCTGAAGAGCTTCTGCAGCATCACCGACCAACGCAGCAGCTGTGTTCGGAGATGCCTCAAGTCTGTTCACGATGTTAACTGCGTTTTGGTTCTCAAGATGGGAGGCGGCAAGGTAATGTAACGTGTTGTGTTGAGTGGGACTGAGAAGTACTTCGTTTCGGTGGGGCTAGTCCTGAAGGTGTTGAAGCCATGTTAGCAGTTGGGTTTTAAAAATGTTTTTGCAGCTTTGAGTTTTTTCTTGAGTGCTGGGGAAGTTAAGTGCTGTTGCCAAAGTGTGTGTACAATGTGTTTTCTTTCCTCATGTTGGAAACCCCTATTGTTCATATGTTATGTAATCAAAGGTTCACACGACCCCATCCATCCACTACACGGTGTTATGAAAATGATTTAGTCTTGAATCAAATCGTAACCTCAAAGTACAATTAATTGAAAGGCAAGGAGGGGGAATTATTAAAAAAAAAATTCAAATGAGGTGACTGGGTGGTTTGAGGAACTAATACCCAAGTCAAAGTACAATGCTCTGACACTACTGACAATCCTGAGTCGGCCAGCCTTGATTAAAACATGTATGAAATGAATGTGCCCAGTGTTTCTGCACAGAAGCCTTGTGATGTTGTTGCATTGAGAGGTTATATGAATTCACATTTCATTGTATCGTATTGAATGTAGGACCTCTCATGGATACAGGGTATTACAGGCCACACCAGTTAAAAACAATCAGTTCTCACGCACATGAGTGTCATAATTGCATTTGATCAACGAATTATTGCATATTGATTTGAAGCTTTCGTGACTGCAGGAATCCATACTCCTTGGTTCTTTCAGTAAAGTCACGTAGGTAGAAAATAAAATAAAACAAATCACGACGTTTCGATCGCAACACAAGCAATCTTCATCAAGGTAAGGCATTTCAAATAAAATTGGGTTGCATCTTGATATATATTTCTGTATCTTTTACATATTTTTTCTTGATTTTCTTTCCTTTCCTGTACATTGCACTCCGATTGTTTTTTTGTATTGTAACTTTCTGACCCACCCATCCTGGACATCTCTGAAAAAGAGCTTCATAACTCATCGGATTTCTCCATGATAAATAAAGATTCTGACTGATTCTATGGTGAATCCTTGACTCGCCACACGTGGCAAAGGTACACTGACGCAGTGTGTGTGCTTTTGTGCACATTATACTCGTACCCATGCATGCGCTTGGCTCTCCTGCAGATCCCGCTCACGGAGGTGGTGGAGCCCGTGGACTTTGAGGACTACCTGATGACGCACCCTCCGCCGGGGGACTCTGATGCGCTGCGCGAACTGTTCGAGTTTCCCGGCGACGATGTGGAGGTCACGTTCGTGCCGCGCGAGTGCCGCACGCTGCAGCCCTCCGTGCCTGAGGATGCGTATGTTGTACATGGGCATTGCCTCTCGGGCGACGGGCGGCATGGGCGAACGTCTCGTGCAAGGGGAATCTGTAGCTAGCGCTGCACTCAGTCGTTTACGAGATTGGACACCTGTTTCCAAAATTAGCTTCGAGGCTCTCCTGGGTTTACAAGTGATTTCTTGCGCAGATTCTCATGCACGCGTCACATTTGTAAAAATGTGCATGACCCATATAATGTCTCTATTCTTGGGTAAATCTGTGGGGCCTTTGTGTGCCGTGCATGGACAAATGTATGCAAAGACAGTTTATCTGTCAGGGCTATTTTTAACCAGGCTCCAGTCTTTGTGTGCATCATCTATGGTTTTTGTGTTTGTAGTATATATATTTTTGGGCTGTTATCACTGGGGCATCTGCTCTCTGCCTCTCCTATTTTTTCCTGTCTTGATGAGCCACTGGAGTGACAAGCTCACCAAGATATCATCACCTGATAATGTGCTGACTGAGAAACAAAACAAAAACCCAAACTAGCCATTGTGCAAAGAAAAAAAAGTGTTTTTATTATGAATTATTTCATGCAAATGTTTATTTTTTTCAGGGAGGTGGACCCACAGGTGCGAGACTGTGTACGATCGTACACAGACAACTGGGCTATCGTCAACCGAAAGTACGCTGCTGCTATCTTGCAACGCACTCTGTTGCACAAAATGTATTTGCTTCTTGCTCTTATAACTTTTGATGTTTTTTTTTCCCTCCATCAGCTGTGAAGGACAGCACAGCCTTGGCAATAAGAGGTACGAGGGACCATGATAACAAGAGGCATTATCTCCTGTGCACAGGTACCACAAGCACGGCACGGGCTTCAACCCCAACCATGTGGAGCGGCAGAAGGAGCGGCAGAAGGGTCTGCCGAGGCAGGTGTTCGAGTCGGACGAAAGCCAGAGTGACCGCAGCAGCATGCCGGATGAACCGGTGAGTGGGGGTCAGGGTTAGAGGTGGGGCCGTCATGTGCAATGATGTGGTGGCTGCCCTGTTTCAGGGAATTTCCATTCCTGTGTACGGCGCGAGTTATTCGTTGGATCGTGACATTGGAACGTTCTTTATTTGTATTTAAGGAGTTTTAGGTTGTTAGGCTCGTCATCTTTTGTTTGGTCTGGTTATTCTGATGTACTTGTTCAACATTTCAGAGTGTGTAATCGTAACTCTGTGGGTTTTTCTTGGTTGTGGGTGGCATATATTAATCGGTGCGTATGACATGGATCCGAAACCTGGACGTTGACAAAAAATATATAAAGCGTGCAAAGGAGCATGTGGAGGTGCTTGATTGCGAATTACATTGAGAGACAGAAAGAGGAACACATGGATTAGAGAACATACGTAATTATACGTAATATTCATCTGTTAAGAAAAGTAAGTGGGCTTATGCACATCACATCGCTGAAAGGGATGCCAGCCATTGATGGAGACTTAACGTCGGAGTGGCAGCCACAAGTGAACGTCAACTGCGGAAACGGCGTTTTGTCTATTGGTGTTGGGTGGACTGATACATCGCAGGACCATGAGAGATGGTGGCAGCTGAGGGAGGGCTCCAGTAGTGGATTGATTTTGCATAATAAAAATGATGATGATGTGTGGCAGCAGGAGGACACACGACGGTGCTCAGTGTCAGCCAACTCGCTGGAGGACACTCCACGTGGGAGCTGGGCCTCCAGCATCTTCGACCTGAAGAACTCGCAGCCGGACTCGCGCCTGCCTGGGCTGCTGGAGCGCACGCCGCTCGACCAGCTCGACCGCGGCAACGGCGAGCTGCGCAAGGCCTCCCGCCAGCGCGAACTCTTCGTGCTCTACCCAGCCGCGGACGAGGTGAGGCCGCACGCCCGAGAGTGTGTCCGCCGCGTAAATGGAGCGACGGATCGGTGCTTGCGCTTGGCCACATCAAATGCCTTTTGGAAGGAGTGTTAGTGGAGGCAGCCAGCGTGGAGGAACCGTGGATAATTTTCGGGAAGCGAACGGGATTCTTGATGAATTTGTTGTGTAATTGTTTTATTTCATCTTTTGCTGCATTTTATATGAACGGTGTTATCGGTGTAATGTTAGGAGATGATGTGGCCATTCATAACTATAGTAGACCTCTCACAAAGCAGTGCATAATAGCTGTCTGCTAGATAATGACCCACAGAAATATGTTTCACAAAACTGATTTTGAACTTCATGTTCATGAATAACGGTCTTATATTTTTTTTACTTTTCAGAGCTAGAGTGTATTCAAACGAAAAACAAACAAATTAAATGCCATGATTTTTATTCGTGCTGTCATTGATGATGGCGCTGAGATCATCAACTCTTCACTTGAGAAACCATTTTAATCAAAGGTGGCTATCTCGGTTCGAACACATGATCTCAGCAGTGCCGGCTCAGTGGTGTAACACCTGAGCCACCCGGCTACCTAAGAGTAGAGCATCATGCAAAGGATTTCTAGCGAGATTGCTTTAATTAATGGCGACGTGGAGGGTATTGATGACAGCGAGGGGTGCGATTTTTCAGGATGAGATCATGGAGAGGAGGACAGTACCAGAGGTGCCCAAGGAACACTTTGGTCAGCGGCTGCTGGTCAAGTGTTTATCGCTCAAGTACGGCACATTCACACCGTCGCTTTCGGTCGCGTTTGCGAGTTTTTTCTTTTGAGCTGGTGTTGTATATCAAGCACCAAACCTTTGCTCGATACTATTAACGGATGTGATAGATATTTCAAATTTTTATATTTGTGGTGTTGGTTTTTGTGTACTCTTGTTTCGTTTTGTACGTTTGTTCATTTCACCTCGGGTCTCCTTTTCAAAGTAACGATTTGCATCAATGTGCTCCCACCTGGTTATAAGTAAAGTTCAAATGTGATTTGTATGTTAGTTGTAGGGCACCTCAGTGGCGAAATGTTATATGCCTTGTCCGGTATACAAGAGGTCGTGGGTTTGATCCCAAGCCTGACTCCTATATATTTGGAGTTTGCATGTTCTCCCGTGGTCGTGTGGATTTTTCTCCAAGTCCTCCAGTTTTCCCCTCCATATTTAGAATCAACATATGTTTATAGTATTTGTCTGCTATAAATGTCCACGTGATAAGTCACTTCGTTGAGCTATTATTTGTGGCCAGGTCGCTACTGAAAAAGAGCTATATAGCTCGGTGGGCCTTACCTGGTAAAAACCAAAAAAATATTGTTGTATGCGTGTATGTGAATGCTATCTGGAGAGTCCGATTTCTGTTTTTGCTAAACAGTTAAGCAAGATAACACGGAGAACACGTTACATTTGTGTAGGTTTGAGATCGAGATCGAGCCCGTGTTTGCGTCGCTGGCGCTGTACGACGTGAAAGAAAAGAAGAAGGCAAGTTCCAAATGCACTGAGCAGAGAGGCCACCTCGTCACGACAGGTTGCCCGCCGCCTCGTGGTAGCACCACGGAAGCTGCTGCTCGCACTGATTAGGAAGGCCCTTTAGCTGCACGGGGATGGAGTAATTCCAGCAGCAGCTAGAGGGAGCTGTCTACGAGTCTTCGCGATTCATCCCCCGCACCCCACCCAGCGATTCAATTGTCAAAATTAATCGCCTCTTGTTACAGAAATAATAATTCCCCTTCTTGACTGCCGAGTTTATAACTGTGTGTACTGTTCTGTATCGTTGCTGCTGTCCATCTCATTTCAGTAGTCTGTCTCGTATAATGTGTCGTTCGCTCCAATGGAAGAAATGTAACATATATCCATATCAAGTCATTTGTATAACTTACAAACCATCGATTCTCAACTGCATGTATCATGAGCATATGAATAAATTTTTGTATTAATTTATTGACCTATCACCACGTGTTTACTAATGTTTAGATTATTTGGCTGCTATAAATGTCCACGTGATAATCCACTTTGTTGGGCTATCATTTGTGGCCAGGTCGTTTAGAAAAAAAGCTATATAGCTCAGTGAGCCTTACCTGGTAAAATGAAAAATTGTTTAGTTTAATAGTTTTTATTAATGAGATGGCTGTACGCTCCTCAATTTCCCCAGATATCGGAGAACTTCTACTTTGACCTCAATACGGACCAGCTCAAGGCCATGCTGCGCCCACACGTGCCCAACACGTCCATCTCTTCGCTGGCGCGCTCTGCCATCTTCTCCGTCACCTACCCGTCGCAGGACGTCTTCCTCGTCATCAAGGTGCCACGCGGGCCCCCGCGCGCTCCCCGACACCCGAGCGATCGCCGCGTTGCATGCCGTCGAATGACTATGAGCTATTCGCCCTGCTGAATGTGCCCAGTCCAGTAAAATTGCGGAAGCTAAGGAGGTTTAAGCCTGTTTGGTGTTTGGATGGGAGACTTCCACGGCTTAATAGGCGTTGTGGGCTTGCGCTGTGGCCAGGAGATCACTGAACAGCGTTGGATTCTTGAATTCCACGTGCGCGGTGGTTTGAATTTGTAACCTCTCCTACGCATGTGTTTCCTCCGGATACCGCAATTTCCTTCCGCCTGCCCAGCATTCGTTAATGGTCAAACATCCCATTGTAGGACTCTCTTGACAAAACAGTCTGGAGATTGAGTGATGCTTTCCTGGGTAAATATTTAATAATGAAAAAGGGAGCGTTTGTTATTCCACTGCTTGATGAAGGCTTCCCCATTCCTTGCCGATCATAGTTGGACGTTTGACCACATTTCACCATGCCCGTCAGTGTGGTGAAGATGGTCGGAAGTAGGATCGGTTACTGGAGTGGCGACGCACGTGATGTAAACATTTGTAGACTATGCGTCACAGACGAGTTTGAATAAATGTCTTGTGTGTTTGTGTGCTGTGCACATGTGGTGTCCTCCCGTGCAGCTGGAGAAGGTCCTCCAGCAGGGAGACATTGGGGAGTGCGCAGACCCTTACATGGTGATGAAGGAGGCGGACACGGCCAAGGTGTGACTCCCGGCTCTCTTGCTACCACCTCCCCGCCATGTCTATCCTCCCCTAACCAACCGTTCCTGCTGTTTGACGATTTATTTTAGACTATTAACTGTGAGTGTGTGCATCTGGTTTTGTTAGGTGATTGTGAAAGTTGTTGCTGATGCTATTCATTATACATTTCACGTGTGCGTTTGGGACCGGGATTCATACAATTGCAGCTTGCAGAATTCTGTCACCGCTGATTGGATCATTAGCTTTTCCGGCAGGGCGGTGCCCGGTACTGACGGAGGGCGTAACGTGAACGCTGAATCCATTGCCCCTCCGCTGATGTTGATGTTCTGCTGGAACAGAACAAGGAGAAGTTGGAAAAGTTGCGCTCTGGCGCCGAGTTATTCTGCCAGCGCCTGGGCAAGTACCGCATGCCGTTTGCGTGGACGGCCATCCACCTCATGAACATAGTGAACAGCGCCGGCAGCCTGGAGCGCGATGCAGCTGACCCCGACAACCCCATCCTCGGTCAGCACCACCAGAATGACCACTACCGCTACCACCACCAACACCACCAACTATAACACTGTCACTACAGCCAATAACACCGCCATCCTTACCACTCCCACCGCAATCACTACCTCATCCACTGCAACCAATAGCACCACCAGCCCTACGAAAGCTACAACCATCGCCACCTCTCCTCTCCTACCACAGCCAATAATACCGCCGCCCTTATCACGACTGTCTCCAGCACCACCTCTGCCACTTCAGCGACTGCATCTACAACCAATACTACCACTATCTTCACTACTACAGCCAATACCACCACTACAACCTCTGACCACTTAAACTACATTCAATACCACTTGCACCACCACTCTTGCCACCGCTATTGCAACTGCTCCCAACGCCACCACCACTGCTGCCACTACCGTCCACGTCCCCTGATTCTGATTGCATGCCATCTGCCGGTTTCTCCACGTGGCCTCCCCTGCTTGCGTGTCCAGAGCGCAAGCTCTCCAGCTGGGCCGAGCGGCGCAACTCCAACACGTCGGGCAAGCGGTCCCTGGAGCGCGTGGCGAGCGGCGGCGACGAGCCGTGCAGCCTCGCCAATTTCCGCCCAGCCACCCTCACCGTCACCAACTTCTTCAAGCAGGTGCCGCCCCCCCTCCCCTGGCCTGTGTTGATGTCAGTAGGTGGCGCCATTGACAACAGACAGCCCTGCAGTTGAAACGATGGTGACCCTGTGAGAAAAACACGCTCAGGAATCTTGTTGCTGGTTCACATTACAAGCACGAGGGGACCGACCCCAATTCCACCTCTGAACATACAGGGCTGTGATAAAAGCAAGGGCTCAGTTTGTGCTATACGGTATGGTGATCCTCGGTCAGCTGAGCTTCAAATGAGTACCTGGTGTGGTGTGTGAACATCGCCAATGGGTAGACAAAGGCGGCCTGCCATGGTGCTGGCCACCCATCCCCTCGTGTGCCATGCCGGCCTTCAAAGGTGCTTGCTAACAGCACTTGCCCCAACAGTCTGTTGAAGCTATACGGGGGGTCTTTGTCCTCATGAGGATTAAGCTTATGTTAATGTTATATACCTAACAAACCTAGGATTTGTGTCCTGGGCTGCCCAACTCAAGTTTAATTTTTGTTAATGGCAATAAGGGCTTTAATGTGCCTGTCAAGCCTACCACCTTAGCACTCGAATGATGTCACCGCTCTGAAGTTTTAAAATTAATGTGAGTGAGGTAACAGTGATTTGACCTAATGAATTAATCTTCACACTAGTTTTGAACACCTGAGATACAGAGCTATGAGGTAAGAGCCGGGTGTTTTGTTTACGTTGAACGATCAAGGGTTGGGTGAAAGTTTGACTTCTTCATATAATAGCAGATTCCATAACGTTAGGCACATTTACATTTTTTTCCCATAATCTAAAAATTGTCAATGTGGGATTGGTAAGGATTCGTTTGTATGTATGTATGTATGCTGTGCTTTTTTCGCGCCGTACCTAGACAACACTGCTAATCGAAAGTGCGTGGCGGGAGAGGGGATCACATATGAGCTGGGGACCACGTCCCTGACCCTGGTTGTGGTCGCGTGCGACACAGGAGGGAGACCGGCTGAGCGACGAAGACCTCTTCAAGTTCCTCGCTGACATGAGGAGGCCGTCGTCCGTGCTGCGCCGCCTGCGGCCCATCACAGGTGTGCCGATGCCCACCCAGGTGGTGCTCATCCCACCGCCTGAAAATGCCCGCTCGGTGTGATTCAAATTCTGGGGGGTGTACAGACCCACGTGCCCGTCGGTGTATGCGTTACAAGATTGGGATGTCCATTTGGGGGGTGTACCAACTCAGGGGTGCCTGCTGGTGACATACTTGCTAAGCCTGCTGATTTAAGCAGGAGGCTGCCACTTATTAAATACGTTGACCATAGAACCGATTATCAAAGCGGATCATATTGTTTGGTTCTTTCGTTGAAGTCACGTAGGTAGAAAAAAAAAATAATAGATCACGACATTACGATCGCAACACAAGCAACCGTCATCAGGTGTGAAACAAACACAGGAGCTCCTACGACAGCAGTCCTCCTTTACCGAAAGAACCAAAGAGTATGGATTCCTGCAGTCACGAAAGCTTGAAATCAAGACGGATCATATTGCTTCATAACACATTTGGGAGGAAATAAATGAGTGCAATTTTTGCTTAGAAAATGTACCTGCCGTAAAATTATAGAAAAACCTGCAACCTATTTCTTAAAACGGTAGGGTTGAAAAGATTGCAATGGGAATGTTCAAACCTAGAGATGCCCAGCAGCAGAGGATGCGATCCAACCTTGGGATACCCTGCTGGGGGTGCTTATGTACCTGGGTGAGCCGGCCAGCCAGTGGTAGCGTGTGCTGGCCCAGGTGGGTCTGCATCCTGCTGTTGGGGCACCGCGGTGGCGAGATGTTATTTGCCTCGCCTGGTATGCAGGAGGTCGTGGGTTCGATCCCGACCCTAACGCCTGTATATTTTGCATGTTTTCCCCATGGAAGTGTGGATTTTTCTCCAGGTCCTCCAGTTGTTCCCTCCACATTTCTAAACATGCGTTGAGAGTATTTGGCTGCTATAAATTTCCGCGTGATAAGCTACTTCGTTGAGCTGTCATTTGTGGCCAGGTCGCTTCTGAAAAAGTACTATATAACTCAGTGGGCCTTACCTGGTCAAATAAAAATAGTTTAGTTTGTAGTAGGGGTGGTGGAGTGCCATGTTTTTTTCTGGGCTGTATTTACCTTGACCGAGAGCGTGCAGAGGACTTTGATCTTCCACGTGGCCTGTTCCTTGTTAGCGTATTGCCCTGCGGCACTCATGCATTTATATTGCAGCTCGCTTGGTTGCCTGGTGCTTGTAAAAGTCTATTTTGTGAAAATCTCCATTGTTTGCCTGCTTGCAATTCAAAGTTATGTGTTTTACAATGCAGTGTATTTGTTTTAAAATCAGAGACTGTTGATTAAGCATTGGTTTCGAAATGTGCTCATTTATGGCACATTTGTTCTCAGGGATTCTAGGTGGATCCCCCCTGCCCAGGAAAACATTTGTGGGAAATTCCCTTATTGCATGAGTAACTCCATGTAAAACGAAACCACAGATCAGGTAGTGGGGGTGCGGTGCTTCAAGGGTCATGGCAATGAGCTGGCAACATCGATGTCCTGGGTTAGAGTCCAGACTTCCGTGTGTAATTCAACCGGGCTCTCAAATGCAGCAAGCTGAAATTTTCTCTGTTTATTCCCCAAAGATTGCCTGTGATAAAACATCCAAATAGGAAAGGAAGTGCAATTAAAGCAATGAGCGTTTGTCAACTGAATTGTCGGGTCATGGCTTTCAGACAACCAATTCACTCCCTAGTGCGGCTGATCTCATCAGATCTTATAGGCTTAGCATCATTTAACCTGTTTAGGACTTGGATATGGAGACTGCCCGGTGATACCAGATGCTTGAAACTGCAGGTTGGCCAGAAAGCTTGGACTGCAGGTTGGCCAGAAGATGGTAGTTCAGAATTGGATTCTTGAATCCATCTGTTCAGTTACTTGGGTGTGTTACTCCCTCATTTCCTCTGGGTACTCCACTTTCCACCCACATGCCAAACAATCATTGATAGAGTTGGTTAACATTTCAATGCAGAACCTCAATGAATACGTCTTTGGACTCGGTGACGCTTTCCTGGGTAAACAATAATGTACATCACTTTTTTCAATCCACTGCTGGATGAAAGCATCCCTATGCTATTTCAGTTATAAGGGCTGGTTCACCATTAATTAGCAAGCTGATTGGTGCAGGTCGATTTTGGAGGAACCCTGAGACCAGTTCAAATATCGATCACCACTGCCAGTAGCCGGGGCCGGTAATCAAACAGATTGGTATGTCGATTGCACAGTGTGAATCGTTGTGTACCACTGCTCCCCCCCTGGGTACGTTATGTATCTAATATGTAATATTTCCTGGCTAAACTAATGTCCGTATTATTATTGTCGTTATTGCGTGCACTCACACCCTCATATGTGTATGTGTGTGCTCGCTCGTACAGCCCAGCTGAAGATCGACATCTCTCCATCACCGGAGAACGCCCCGTACTGCCTGACTCCCGAGCTGCTGCAGGTGAAGCCGTACCCGGACATCCGCGTGAGGCCCACACGCGAGATCCTGGAGTTCCCGGCGCGGGAAGTCTACGACCCCTACACAACCTACAGGTGGGGCTGAGCTCCTCCTAATCCCTGCCCTCCCAGTGTCCTTGCTGCTGGTCTCTGTCCCAGCTTCTAAATTCCTGATCCCCTCCCTCCCACTGCACGTCTCTAACTCCTATTTTTATTCCTTCTCCCTGCTCTTGCTCTATGTCCTGGCTATACCCACCCCTTGATCCCCTCCCTCCCACTGCTTGCCCGCAACTCCTCCCCACTTTCTACAAACCGCTCTTTGCACATTGTTCCATACTCCTGCTCTGTTGTTGTTCTGTTCTCTGCCACATCGTCACTGCTCCCCGCTCCGTGTTCCCTTCCCCCTGCTTCTTGTCTTGACTACCTGCTCCTCTGATGGCTGCCCCCTTGCTCCCCTGATCACTGCTTCCCATCCTCTGTGCTCTGCTGGTAAACACAGAGGGCAGCCCTTGGCTGTGTTGAGAGAGTGCTTGTTGCCGCTGCCAACACTGGGGGAGCATTGCGTGGTCGGAACCCCTCACGGTGGGTGAGCCTTGAGTGTGGCAACGTTTGAGGATGACGAAATTGACGTAATTGAAAGGCAGTCTCAGCCAGAAAATTACCGTGTTCCATTGTTGTTGTCTCAGCTCTCCACCAGCTACTGCGGTGCTTTTGTTTGTTCAGGGTTTAAGGCTTGGTCAAGTCCGAATGAACGATGTTGAGAGCAAGAAAGAGCATTTTATGAGCAGGCTTTTAAAATCAACAAGTCGTAAGCATTTTGAGCTAGGTTTTTTAAAGCAGGGTCAAAGCTACGGTGATACTCCTGGTAGTGGTGTAAGAATTCACCACCACCCATTACCGCCTAATGATTAATTGTACAGGGTGGTCCAGATGCCTTGTGACCCCATATGTAATTGACCCCTAACATTTTTTCCCTTTGGATATTCATTTCTGTTTTGAATAATCCTTACTTTTAAAAAATTTAAGTTTTAGAGAATTAAATGGGGGTCACAAGACATCTGGATCACCCAGTACAGTATTTCTGCAATTTAGCTCCTTGATTTGTTGAAGGAATTATTTTGTTTCATCTTATTTTTACCCTCTCGTTTGTAAACTTTCTCAATTTTCTTGTCTGTCTCGTTTGCTCATTATTGCTCACTGGCCTAAATATAACGATTACTTATTTGGACAATGATTCTCATGAATCAGAACAACATTGGTTCTTACACATGCAAGTCAACACGCGCTGGCATCGTGAGCGTGAACTAATGAATCGATGATACACGCTCGTCACACTCCTAAATCCTGGCCTGAGAGTCGTGCTTTGTTTTAGGCGAGCCGAGAGGGCGCAAGTGAGTGAGCGCGAGTGAGCGAAGGAGGGGAGGGAAGGGAGGGAGCTGGCTCCCGGGAAGAGCGCGTGTGTCGCTCTGCCGCGTGGGTGTGTGGGGGTGTGAGGGGGCGGTCTCTCGTCCGTGGGGAGCATCCACTCCACTTGCATCATGCAAAAAAGAACTCTACGTCCAAGAATCTGGGTGAAAGTTGAAAGCCGTTGCGGGGCTGTGTGGGTTTGCCCTTCTGCACGGGGGGTTTCTTGAGTAGATTCCAGCGCACGTGGTTAACGTGGCTGCCCCCCCCCCCGCCCTGCTCGCCTGCCCATAATAGTTGAATGCACACCATGTGTCCGTTCACTCAATACCCCCCAACCCAACTGGAGTGTCTTCCTAAAGCCGAGTTTGACATTTCACATGTAAATTGTGCAAAGTGGAGAGTGCTTTCTGAATGCCGTGCATTCTTTTTCTTTGGTCTGTAATGTGAATAAGAGGTGTGCAACAATTCACACAAAGATTAGATGAATTGTCACAATGTTTGGTATTTGATTCAATTATTGATTATCTTTTACCCCTTTTTATCATCTCATTTCTATTGAAAAAATGTCTGTGTTAGCCCATCCCATTCACCTAAAACCTACCATTGGCAGAGCATTTTTGTAATACTTTAAATAACAGATTCTTTCATGCATATACATTTTGGTACATTCTGAGAATACAAACACAATATGATTTGCATTCGTTTACGTACATAATAAATAATCAGGCCTCTTTCGCATGATTCTATGCTTGTATTAAGTGTATGAATCAGTTTTAATCAGTGAATCGATGCATGGTTAATATAGTTTGCATGAAGAATTGACTGCGCTGCTCACAGTGCTACTACTGTGCTTGAGAGTGCTGATAATGGAATGAGGGAACATTATTAGATGAGTATATAATGGCCTGCGTGTGTACAAGTTCTTCTCTGCCTCCTGCCACCGAAGTCACATGTTTATCCAGTATCGGCAATATGATGATGATGATGACGGCCAGTCTATAGCCCTGGTGAGGTCCTACCACAGTACATGGCTCCTCTGGAAGCTGATAGACCAACAGATGTTAAGTTTACTACACCATGACTCATTTAAGGTAACTGCTCGTAGAGGTGGAACGATGGATGCATCAATTCGCCGATTGGTATAATTGTTTTAAGCTCACAATAGAGGCAGTAAATCACGTGTGTGACGATGTTTCTCTATGTCCTTGGGTCCACATTGAGCTCATGACGGCTGTACCTCTTAGGTTATGACTGGAGAGCCTTAAATGCAAGCTTTGAATCGGTAATGGATTATGCCTGCTCGTTCCATATTTGTCAAAACGCAAAGGGCTTCTCTTTGTATGGTCATCTCCGCCCGTGTCCCATTGATGAGTTAACTTAATCCATTGATAGTTATGGAAGAGAGGCACAAGTTGTGCCGAGCCTTTGGTGCACAGCAAACGTTAATGTATTTTTTTCGATACATCTTGATCTTATTTCAAAGTCTTAAAACGCAAAGACAATAGTTGACGTTAAAGTCCGCCCAGCCAGCTTTTGGCGCATTCCAGTGCGCTCGATTAGAAAAGTGCTCGGAGCAATGTGGGTGAAAAGTTACGTTACCTTGAATTGCACAAAAGCTTTCCACTGAAGAGAGCAAACAGCCTCGATGTGTTCTCTGCGGAAGTTGTAAGGACGGCCTCTGGGGGGGGTGGGGTGTCAGTAATGGAGAGAGAAAAAAAACTGGGTGAAAAGTCAAAGCCATCAGGTGTCCATGGGAATGCCATTGAGGCTTCAACACAAATGTCCCCCACGGAGATTATGCGTTTGCAGCCAAGGTGTTGCCTTGGGATCATGGTTTTTTTGCAGTTTATGGTGAATGTGCAACTTTTAATCGATCTGGTGCCGTGATGTGTGGTGGCAGGATATAAACCGCAAAGTGGAGGAAAAAAAAACATAATTTAGATTAGTCATTCAGGCCCGCTTGAGTCCCAGTGTAGAACCAACCCGGTGGCAGCTTCCATCGGATGGTGCTGAAAACTGAAAAGTAGGTGAAAGTTTACACTGGGATGAGGAGGCGTGCACAAGCGTGCAGCCTGTATTGTTGGGAGTTGTGAATTGATCACCAAGTTGGTTTTTGCACAAGCAGCTGCCAGGATATGCATGCTTAATGAGGTGGGTAGAATTTGGCCACCAAAGAAAGGCTTACGCTCGCGAAGAGCGATAGGGGAGGAGGAAAAGTTTAACAAGGCTGTTGGCCATTTCTTATGCCCGCATTTGCTTGTTGAACCGTGACATTGTAAAATTGCGCCCCTGTTGTAAAAAGTGGTAAATCATTTGCATACAGAAACAGAAGGGGCTCGACTACGGCGGAGATTGTATTTTTATTTGCACATTCAGAGGTTACGCGTTAAGTGGTCCCTCAAACACTTGTGTGTGAAAAAAAATGTGGCGGTATCTGGAACAAGTCGAGGTTCTTCGGTCACCTGGAGTACTGCGCCTGCTGCGTCAGCACGGCAATGTGTCCCTCGCGTGTCACCGCTTGTGGCCGTTCCACACACACCCCCGAGCCACGAAGTACCCCCCCCCCATGAAGAAAGCGGCTTAGGAAAAGAAAAAAAAAGTGGGTCAGGGGTAACGCTGCAGCCTGTGAAAGACGACGACTTACATTGGCGTCATCGCGTTGTGTTCCTCTCCACATCTTTCTCGCATTTGCGTCGAGATTCCAAAAATGTGTTTCCCGGCTGAGGCTGACGTGGGGTGACGTTTGTCATCGCCGTTGTGTAATCCCTGATGGTCAAACCACAGCCCTTTTTTGCTTCCCCATTTGCCGTGGCATATTGACAACATTGAATGAGTCATTTAATTGGCTTAAGCAGGACCACTGTAATTCTCTTCTCATATACCACACTAAACGCTAGCCAGACATGGTAGCACACGCCTGTTATCCAAAGCTTGGGAGGAAAGGGTTGATGGATCATGTCGTTTTTTTGAAACTCTTAAACCCGCTTCAGCTGTGAGTTGACTCATCTGTGCGGACCTTTGAGTTGCTATACTCTCATGTGGGTTTTAAATTTATATTCTTTGTTTTCTTACCATATCTTAAACGCTTATTAGTAGAATTGGTCAAAACATCCCAATGCAGGATCCTCATGAAAACAGTGTTGAGGCTTGGTAAGGTTTCCTAGGTTAAATAATGAAGTTATGGATAGTGGGTGGCAGGGTGCTACAGTGGTTTGGTAACACCCTGTACCTCACAGCAAGAAGCGCCTGTGTGGAATTCCCAAATTGGGCACCATTCTGTGTGCAGTTTGTGTGTTTCTCCCCCTGTTCTGCATTGGTTTCCCCTGTGTCCTCCAGTTTCCTGCCATAGGTAATTTTTTTTTAACCGGTATTGGCCAAACATCTAAAAAAATTATCTGCGAATTATTCAATTTGGATTACACATGGCAGCATCGGCCCTGACTGTGGCAGCATGGCAGGACCGTTCGGAACAAGAGTCGTGAGGCTTTGTTCGGTAATCCAGTATAATAAATAATCATAATTGGAATTAACTTAAGAGTTCTAATGGATTTCACTGGGTCAAAACAGAAGCAGTGTTATTACTGGCACTCAGTATTGATGATGCTGATAAGCCTTAACAGTACAGGTGCAATGATGTATCACTTCATTAATTTTAAAATCAATTATGACTCAAGATATCCACGTTGAAT